GCGCTTCTGCAACTTCCAAGGTAGGACGCTGAGTCCCTACGGGGGTTGTATGTTACACCCTAGGCGAATCGATGATGCTGGAAAATATTTACAAGAACAGCTACGTTACATTTTGTGTAATGTTCTTGAAAAGTCAATCATGGCTTTCGTACATAAGTATATACATCTTTGGGAATCTGAATTAGAAACCTCATAGTCTCTGCACCTCATCTTGACTTGGTAATACCTGGTCAACACTCAACAGGGGCGAAGCTAGGTGGCAGAAGGGGGTTCAGTCGAACCCCTTTCACCAAAAATTACAATGTATATATATGGTTAATTTTTTTTCATGTATAAATATTAGGTGTTGAATTCCCTTAGCTTCTTTGTTATTTTTTTTTTTTTTTTGATTTTTTGAATTCCTTTGATGAAAATCCTGTTTCCGCCACTTTTGGTCAAGGCTTCACTAGCAGCAAACAAATAGAAGAAAATAATAAAGCTGATATTAAAGCAGGTTCAAAATGGTTTCTCAAGTGTGCAACTTCAAGCATTGAATTGATCATCACATGACAATATTCTGCTTATGTTATTGTGCCCAATTCAAAGAAGGTAGACATCTTCTCTTTGTTCACTTGCAGCCTCCCACGATTCGAGTTCAAGCGGAAGCACGGAAAGTTCCAGCGTAATATGCTGGATTATGGAACTTCTGCATATAAATTTCTGGTATATTATGTTGGAATTCCAGCACATTATGAATTCCAACATATTATACTAGAATCTCATATGAACTCCAGGAATTTTTTCGGATTTTTAAAGGTGCTTTTGTTCAAATTTTATTTTTACATGAAAAATGATTAAATTTCGTTACTTTTGAAATTGTGGCTAATTTTTAATTAGCAGTTGTAATCATGCTATTTCTGATTTCCCCCCTAAATATTGGGCCAAACTTGAAACTATTTTTCATTTATTTTTTCCTGTTATAATTTATTTAATTATCAAATCAAACTAGTAAAAGCTTGTTTTCTTTTTCTATTTATGGAGGTAACAATAGGTCACTGAATCACCAGAAAACTAAGCCATACTGCAATTCAGATGAGACAAGGCATTTAATATCCTTTTACACATATTCACATAACACTCTATGGTTCTTGATCAGATGATGAAAAAGAATAATATAAATACAAAGCACAATTTTAGTAGACGTCAAAAGTCACAGAAAACTATGCTCCAGTAATATTCAGTTGCATCAAAGCATTTACTTGATGATCCTTAATACTAGGATATAACTAATTGAGAAGCGAAATTAAAATTTAAACTGTATGAGTTCAACTAATTAATATTATATTTTTGAAATTATAAGTTTAGAATTTTGATATATTTATTAAAATTGTAGTAGGCTTTTGCATATACATCTCATTCCATGTCAAAATATTGAGTTTAATTGAGCGAACTTAAAAAAAGAGGCTATATCCGCCTCTGAGCTAATGAGTCCTACTAAATGTTCTAGAGCTTAACTTCTATACAGAAATGATGTAAAAGAATTATTATACCGTTACGTCTCTAAAATACAATTACAAATAATCGTGCATAAAAAGTATATTAGTGACTTAAAGAATATCTCAGTCACATGTTACAAGGTATATAAAAAATTGCAGTCAAAGTATAATTTGTTTGACTATTGCAATTCGAATATTGTCACATAAAATGAGACGGAAGAAGTAGTTTAAATAGAGGGGCGAAGAGATTTGGTTAGTTTCAGTAGCATTTGACAAATTGGGTTAAATTCGCCATAAAATTAGCAGTCCAATTATAATTTACCTTGTCTAAAGCAAAAGATGCCCCATTAATGCCAGAATATACTCCTACAGTTTACAGTTTGAGACAACAAATTATATTTATATTTTTGTTATTTTTTATATTTAAAAAATAACAAATGCTTTTTGAAGTAATTTTTTTGGGATTTTTTGAAACAACAGATATTTTGAAGTATTTTGGGGGGGGGGGGGGGGAAGGGGATAAAACGACACTAAAAATGGGATAAAACGACACTAAAAATGGGAAGATATTTTATTGCTTATTTGCCTGCCGGAGAGAAAGGGTATATTAGTCATTTTACTTTTAGATTTTAGATCAACGGAGGGGAGAAACCAAAAAAGGAATGAGCCTTATCTAGTAAACCTGCGGCTGCATCGTTAAAACCAACATTTAGTTAAAAAAAACTGCTTCACTTTTCTCAAGTTCACTTCTTATTTTCTTCTCAAGTTGTTTCTTTGACTAAATTCAGAAAAAAAAAACTGAATTCATTCCTTTTAATGGCAAATTCTCTGTGTTTCACACCTTTAGCTTCATTCAACTCTGTCAATAGACCAGGTAATTTGCAGTTTCTATTAATTCTTGTAATTTATTTATCCCTTTTTGCTTAATTGGTAGTTGTATTCTCTGTCAATTACTTGAAGCATATGCTGTTTCATGTTTTCTTTTTTCATTTTAGTTTGATTCTGCATTATTGGTTTGTAATCTTTTTGGGGTTAATTTCACGTGTATTTACTGATATTTACCCTTTATAACAGTCTTGTCACAAAAATTATGGGTTGTTACATAAATGATGCTGAATTTTATTGTTTTAATGGATAATGTGACAAAAGAAATGTGACTAAAATTGTTATAATGGGTAAAATTCAGTAACTATTATAGTGCTTAAAGTTTTAGTTACCTTACCTTCTATAACAATCTAGTCACAAAAGTACATTTTGACACTTAAAACAAGCTGAATTTTATTGTTATAGGGGTTAAAATTAGGTACTTTAATGTTGCAAAAGAGATTGTGGCCAAACCGTTATATTGGGTAAAGTTCAATAACTGTTATAGTGGGTAAAATTCAGTTACTTAAACAACAACAACAAACCCAGTATAATCCCACAAGTAAGGTCTGGGGAGGGTAGTGTGTCCGCCAAACTTACTCCTACCTTGACGGCAGAGAGGTTGTTTCCGATAGACCCCCGACTCGAGGAAAGATGAAAAGAAAGCAATAGCATCAAGCAGTAACAACAATAAGATAATAAGAAAAACGAGGCGGAAGGAACAACATGTAGCAGTTACTTCAGTGTAAAAAAAAACATGTATTCTTACTATTACAATGGATAAATTTCAGTGACTTTACGCATAATTGTCATTCTTTGTGTTTGTTTATGGGTCTGCAACTGTGTGTAGAATGCTAATGTGTTTGGTTGTAAAGAGTCAATTTTGTTTTTGTGTGTAGTAATTGGGATATTTTGTACTTTTGTCAGGTCTAAATCTGATTAATGGGAATTGCACCGGAGGAAAGATTCAATGGATCAAAGATGTTTCATACAGCTCCAAGACTAACTTGAGAGTTGTGGAAGTGAAGGTAATTTTGGGCTTCTATGTATAGATAATTGTGCAAATTTGCAGTTAAATGTGCTCAATTGATATGCAATGGCTACATTTTTGACTTTAATGTTTAGACACTAAGGCTAAGATCCAGTATGACTTTAGACATATATAACTCGAGCGTGGCGGCAGCACGGAGCTAGGTGGACTAAAGGGGGTTCATGGACTTATAGTCTTGACTTGAGAATGGAGAGGAAGCTTTTAAGAAGTTTATGTGCTCATAGTCTTGGCTTGAGACTGGAGTAATGAATGTTTTTAAGAAGTTTTTTGTGCTCAAACTGGTTTAGTATTGAGAAGGAATGAGATTAAATGATTGTGGTTATACTACTTGGCTAGGAAAACCGCCAAATAGACTTGTTTGTGGGAATTCGAAAACTATGTAATTAGGAGCGGTGCTAGAAGCCCAGATATTGGTACGGACAAATCCAGTAGCTTTTGCTCAAACGGTGCATTTGTGTTAAGAAATTCATTAAGTATGTACAAATACTAACTTCAAAACCCATAAAGTTGTCGTTGGTCTAAAATTTAGAATCCATAAAGTTGAAATCCTGGCTCCGCCTCTGTTAATGTGGTGGCATCTGCATTATAGCAATTATCTCTCTATTTATGTGAAATGGGGTCAGGCCGCATCATTTCGTTCCTGATGGGATCAGGAACCTTTTTCTCGCTTTCTTTTTTCTGTCTCTCATTTCTCAGAATACTTCGTAAAGGTGAAACTCCTAAGTTTAATGCTAGCTGTAGTTCTATTGAAACTTCGGTTTGCTCCTACAATTTTTCTTTCACCTCTTTTTGTGATCTAACTATACCATCTTTTCTTCTATTTCTCTGAGTTTGTTGTATTATGCCAGAGCTTTAACATTACTCTCTATTTTCCAGGCCACTGACAGTGACAAAGACACGAAAGTAAGGAGCATAGTCTGTCAAAATTGTGATGGAAATGGTAAGTGGATTAATGCATATCTTTTGGATCTTGAATTCTTTCTCATCATTAACGATAAAGTTCAGTGAACTTCTCTCGACAAACACTCTCATGCTGTTTTTAGTCTCAAGTGACTAATATTTCTTAATACCGTAATTTTGCCTTTCGGTATATTCAATTTTTATCGAATTGTGGCGATGAAGATGATTGTAACAGAAGCAGTACTTTCGAGAGAAACTTTGTACTCCTAGATTTTAGTAAGAGAGCTATTATATCTTTTATCAATATAATGCTTGTTTTACCTCTGCTTGAGATTGTTTCTTAAAACAATTTGCTTCAAGTAGTAATTTGACTATTGATGTTAAGTGCTCGATGGAAAAACACCTTTGTTACGAGCTTCCCCCAAATTATTCATCAAAGTTTTATCTGAGAATTACAGCGTATCTGGGATTCCAACACTTTTTTTGTTACTGCTGCAGCCTTACTGGTTCTTTTTTTTTTTTTTTTGAAAAGGTAAAGGTTTATTAACTGAATACCAAGATGGTAGCAGAAAAGAGTACAAAACTGCTGGGAATATCCATGCAGTTAATAAAAATATTTTCTAAGTTACTCCATAAAATCCATGTAATGATCAATATCATCTACCAAACTAACTATTACACCAAAGAAATAGATTGTGCAAACACTTATATTTATTCTAGAAATATGATCTTTCTGCCCATCAAAGCAAGCTCTATTCCTCTCTATCCAAATAATCCAGAATATGCATAGAGGTTTGGTTCTCCAAATCTGTTTAAGTGCTTTATGTGTCTTCTGATGCTGTCAACCATTCAAAAGGTTCATGACATTCTGAGGTATGGTCCAGAAAATCCCACATAAATTGAAAAAAAGCTCCCAGCACTGTCTAGCATATCTACAATGCAAGAAAAGGTGATTAGTAGTCTCCAGTTCTTCTTCACACAAATAACAACTACTACACAGAACAAAGCCTCTCTTCTGAAGATTATTTTGGGTAAGGCAAGCTTCCCAAGCTACAGTCCAACCAAAACATGCAGCCTTGCTGGTTCTTTGCCGTGTTACATACTTAAATTTGCCTTTATGGTTCTTTTTCTTGCCTATACTCATTATTTGCACCCATGATCGTTTCATATATATATATATATTGATTACAGAGGCCTGAAATAATGCGTTTCAACTTGGATTTAGTTCAGAAAGCTCTGTTTCTTATACGCCATATTGCTCTCAGGTGCAGTATCGTGCTCACAGTGCAAAGGCTCTGGGGTTAACTCTGTAGATCATTTCAACGGGCGGTTCAAAGCTGGTGGACTATGTTGGTTGTGCAGGTAATTGTACTATCATTTTTTCTTTTGATAATTATGGTTTCACATTGTAATTTTGTTCTTAAGCAAGTCGATAAAAATGCTGCAATGCCGTCTGATTAATCATATCCTTCATGTTTGCACTTTTTTTTTCTTCAGAGGTAAAAAAGATATGTTATGTGGTGATTGCAACGGTGCTGGATTTCTTGGTGGATTTATGAGTACGTTCGATGAATAGACTTAATATGCACTATTCTCGGGTAGGTTCAGAGGCAGATTCATAATGTACACTTTGATGGGTTCAATCTTTAAAAAATTTCATTGAACTCATTGTATCTTTGAGATTATGGATTCAGAATTTAATATTTCTTAAAATTTTAGTAATTTTTCACATACATCATGCTTTTTATTAGTTGAATCATAAAAGTTGTGATCCATCCGCCCCTAGGTAGGTTGCCACCATTGATCCCAAGAGAAGCACACCGAAGTATTTGATAAACAAACAACAATATACCCAGTAAAATCTCACAAGTACGGTCTGGAGAGGGTGGGGCGTAAGCAAACCATAACCCTATCTTGTGAGAGGGAAATATTATTTTCGATTAAGTATTTGATAAACAGATTGCATTATAATTTTCCAGTTCCGGTTTCACATGTTTATATTGTAGAAGCTTCTCTCTAAAGTATGTGGAAGAAGCTTTGCATTAAGAAATTATTGTTATATGACAAAGGACTTACATTTTGGCACCTAAAGTTCATGATATCGTGTCCTAAAGTTCAAATCTTATGTCCAAAATTTTAAATTAGTAATTCGAAAAGCAGCTCAAAAATCCAAGACTTAGGTCCTAAATTCACAAATTGAGGATATTTAGTCCTGAAGTAACTGACTAATCTTTAAATACATTGTAAATTGTGAATATATTTTAAATAGCAGACGAAAATTCGCTATTGCTGCACTTTAGAAGCGACCTTTGGTAGAAGCGACGAAGTTAATTAAACTTTAGAAGCGACCTTTGGTAGAATGTCTAATCAAACATTAAAAGCAAATCAAGCCATTAAATTTGGCTTGTTTATTAAGCAGAATAATTCTCAAAATAATCTTCAAAGGGCTCCTAAGGAATAAGGATTATGCAATTTGTTTTTGTATTTACGATTGACGTATGATTAACTCTCTTATTTAAATACAATTGGCATTAATTTGCGAATTATATTCTGAGTTCTTTTATAACTTGGTAAAAATGAAGTGAATTTTTGGTACGAATTCTTTTTAGTGGATTTATATGATAAAAGTAAGTGACTTTTTTTTTTATAAAATATTTTACCAATTTTAACGCAATAAACTAAAAAAATAACCATTCGTGAAATGGTAACAGAAAATAAAAAAAACGAATAGAAAAACTCAACATTCTTCAGCTGCCGGACAAACGCAAACTCTTAACAATGGAGAGAGCAACACCTGTACGAATGCGCCACACCTCCACCGGCGATCTACCGACGTGGTCGGATGTCCCGCTGGCGAACAACTCCGCCGCCTCTGGCGATGGATCTCGCTCCGGCGAACAACTCCCACATCTTCCGGCGAAATGTTGAGAAACATGGAGAAGAGCTTTTATCACGTGCCAGGTTAAGTGCAATTTCGATTGTCAAATTGCCATCCTTTGCTTCAGAGTTGCCGTAGTGTAAGGGTGATTGGGTGAGAATTGGAGGTATAGAATCATAAAAGAAAAAAAAAAAGAAAAAAAAGGAGATTGGGGAGAGGATTGCTGTGGGCTACAGTTATTTCTTTGAAAAACAATAGAAAACATTAATAAAGAACTCTTGAAAGATAAAAATGAAAAGTTTTGAATTATGACTATTGGACACCAAATTTGCTTACATAATCTTTAGTTAGCCATCAAAATTTATTAATCTAACGTGGATACAGACTTTCTGGTATACAAGCTAATTAATTAAGCCAGTGGTTGTTAACTAACATGGTTTCTTATATTATATTGTACAATCCTCAAATAATATATATATAGATTAACACTCTTCCCTTGATGGAAATTCATTTCTATGAAGACATTTCTTAGCTAGTATAATTTCCCTATCAGCAACTTGAGAGTTAACCAAAATTTGCGGTTTTCAGCTCTTTTATAGGGTTTTTCTGTGGCTGCATCAGTCACGAAGTGATCAACTCTAATGACGATTGCTTTCCCCTATAAATACCTCATCATACTCAATTTTAAAAATCTCTTCCTTCTTCCTTGCATTCATCTCCCTAACTTTTCCTCATATTTCGTCATCTTTTTCTTGTATTTCCTTCATTAAAGATATCTTTTTCAACACCAGACCCACGTAAAATGGTGATTGTTGATGAACTTACTCCTTCTACTACCCCTACCAGGAGTAGGAGAGGTGACAGACTCCGTAGTTTAGGTTCATTATCTACTCGTAGTTCTACTCCTCAAAGTAGTAATGTCAAACCAACTTCTTCTAGGGCTGAATCTCCCTTAACCCCTAGATCTTCTTCTAAGGGGAGGGATCAGAATGAACTCATGCGTGAGCCTATAGTTTCTGAGATTGTCCCTCAAGAGTTTTCTTTCGTATCAGACCGCGAAGCTATGAAAAAATAGGTTTCTTCTATAGAATCTCTTAACCCCGCTTAACATTACCCAAACTTGATTACTCCTGGACTTCTTTTTTTGGTTTGACGTGAATGCCACTGGAAACCAGATTTTCCAGTATTGATTCTTGGTTCTAATCAAAGAATCACTTCTTACCATGCTAGTTTTTCTTTTGTTTACACCTATCCTTTCAATTTAGGGTTTAAACCTCCCATTGACCCTGTGATTATTGAGTTCTCTCGCTACTTTAATGTTTGCCTCAGTCACATCGTGTGGAGGGCAGTTGCTTGCCTTCGCTACTTGTCGGATTTGGTTTCCGCCCCTTTTACGTTCCGTCACTTGCTTCACCTTTATTCTCCAAAACTGTTTCGTGAAGGTGTCTTTTCCCTCATGGCTAGAAGTAAAAGGGTTTTAATCAGCCCCTAGGATGACTGCGACCGTGGCTGGTATGCTCAATTTGTTGCTACCCTGACTCGTGGATTAGTGGGTGATGAAAACATGCATTTCCCTGAAAAGTGAAACTTTGCACGTAAGTGTTTTCCCCCTTTTCCTTACTTTTCTTCATGTCTTGATTTTCTTTAAATGAATGTATGTTCATTTTTTCAGCAACCATGGAAGTTTTCGAAGAAATTCCTGACTTTCGTGCTTGGGTAGAAAAAATGTTGACTGCTGCCCATGGATAAGAGGTCCTGGAAATTTCTTTCTCAGAAATTTGGCGGAAAGTGAAGACTCACGGTAACTTTTTATTCCCATGATTTCCTTCCTCTTTGCTTGTTCCTTCCTTTTAATGCATATACTTTTTTTCCTTTTTTATTAGGGTTTGCCATTCACGGCATCAGCCCCGCTTCTGTTCCCCCTATGAGGCTTTTTGTAAGCTCTGCACAAGAACAAATTTTAAGTGTATCTTCTTCCAAGAGGAAAACTGCTGAAGCCCGTGGGTCTGAAGATGAAGAGGATGCCGAAGAAGGTTCCTTGGTGAGGAAACTGCGTGTCAGAAGGCGCGTGGTTTTGAATGATGAAACCATGTCTCTCAAGATCCCCCTTCAAGTTCAATTCCTTTTAGTCTCGTTGATGAGCCAGAGAATGTCCATGTGAATATCTATGATGAAGATGCTGGTAATTTTGATACCCTCCCCCCCCAAGTCCCGTTGAAAGGTTATTTGCCCAAGGTTTTGGAGGTGAAGAAGAATTTGGGCCTGTTTCTGAAGAGCTGCCTCTTGCCTCTCTTCCAATGTTGTCAGTTACACCTACTGTTAATCCCCCTATTTCTCTACCAACAGTTACCCCAGTGGTTGCCCTACTATTGTTCCTCGTGAAGAAGACGAGCCTTCCGGCAGCAGGCGGGGTATGAAAAAAGTCCTAATTGAAGTCCCTGATAGTGAGAATCTATTGAAAAAGTCTGGTCACGATGCTGTGTGGTTAAAACCACTTCCTGCTCTCTTGGAAAGAAAAAAGCTCGAGGGTCATAGTTCTTTGACCTTGATGAATGACATTATCCATTCTTCCCTCAAGGTATATCTTTACTTACTTATTTTTCTTTCCTTCTTTTTTCAATCATAACTCCCCTTCGTTTGTCTTTATGTAGATCAATTTGATAGGTACAGAGCTTATGAGAAGGATTTCTCGGACAAATCTGCAGGTGATTGAGTTGTACACCGAGGCTCATAATTGGAAAGAGCAATTCGAAGGCCTCCGACTGGAGAAAGACGTTCTTGCTGAGGAGAAAGGATCTTTAGAACAACAATTGAGGTTGATCTCCGCTGAATTAGTGATTTTAAAAGCTTCTTCCGATTAAGTTGAGAAAGAAAAGGACAGATTGGAATGCTCCTTCGCTAAACAACACTCCAAGGAAACTGAAGAGATAAGGAGTTTGAAAGAGCTTCTTAATCAAAAAGAGGTGTACGCAGGTGATCTGGTACATATGCTTACCCGGGCTCAAGAAGGCCTTCGTGCTTCTACAGACAAGATTCAGTTCCTTGAGAGTTTTCTTACTCATTTAAATGCAGCTTATGAAGCCCCAGAAGCAGAAAAAGAAGAGTTAAAAGCTGAGATCGAGCAGTGGGAAAAGGATACGAGGCCCTTAAAGACAAGTTAACACTTGATGTTAGCTGGGCTTTTTTGCACTCGCTTCGAGACTCTAACTGAAGCTAGCCAGGAGGGTTTTGACCTCTATGCTGAAAATGCAAAGGCTAAAGAGATGATTTAACAGACTCAACAACATCAAAGCTTCTCTATACCCGAGGATGAAAGTTCCAAAGGTGATGGTGATGGAGTTACTCCTAGTGAAATTGATGTTCAACCCTCATCTTCTCAAGTTAATCCTTCTTTTCCCGTGGATGATGCTCCCTAGTTTTTTCCCTCTTGACTTTTGTTGAAGTTGTTTGTTTTTGGTTTTTGTTGGAATTCTCTTCTTGTTTTTTAGATAATATTTGGAAGATTTTTCGCCCCTATTTTTGGGGTGATGATATAAATATCTCTTTGCTGCATATTATACTTTTTGAAATATCACTTTGCTGCATACTATGCTTTTTGCTCTTTCAGTTTTTGAGCTTATACTTACATTTAAAATGCTTTATCAGACCGTGACTTCAATATGCACTAGGTTTTATAAAAGAGGGCCCTTTTTATATCAACAACACTGACGAAGATGACATCTCATCTTCATATTGGTGCAAAGATATGAAACATGAAGTAATTTGAGGAAGTTTTATTTTTTAAACTTTCAAATTAATAAGTTTAAACGAACTCTTCAAAAGTGCTTTCTTTGTAGCAGGTTTACAAATTCAGGTATTTCTTCCCATGACTAAATTTATGGCCTTAACCTAGAAGCTCATGGGAATATTTATGGCCTTTTTACTGTTCATCCTTTTTGCGAGCTCGAACGCCTTTGAAATTTTTTCTTCAAGGGTTTCTTCAAGATTTTGATTTTGGGTGAACTCTGCTCTTGGTATACATCTTTTTTCCTTATGTATCCTTCTATATCATAGCCCCCCCCCCCCCCCCCAGTGTTAGAGCATTGAAGCATGAGATCTCGAACTCTGGATCAAATCCTTACTTATGATCCTTTTCTTGCAAAGGGAAATACATACAAGACTCGGAGATAATCTTTTAGATAATGATTGCATAACCCTTTTGCCATCAGAAATGTTGTAACCTAGACCGGAAATAATTTAGTATTCCGTGTGTCTTTCGGGTTTAATATCATCATTTGGTACGGGCCAACTTTTTGCCTATCATCTAAGATGGTTAGTAAAATTCAAATGAACAAAATAAAATTGAACTTGTATGATACCTGCCCGTGGGTATTAACATCTTTTAGAAGTAATACTTCTTCAAATGGACTGGATTCCAATGTGATGGTAACACCTTGCCATCCATGGTTTCCAACTCGTATGTACCTTTTCCAGCAATGCCCCTAACCCTATGTGGGCCTTCCCAATTTGGACTCAATTTTCCTTCGCTTGCCGCTATTGTTGACTGGAACAAATTTTTGAGGACGAAGTCCCCAATTTTGAAGTACCTCAGGTTGGCCTTCCTATTATAGTATCATTCAATCATCTGCTTTTGAGCAGCCATCTAAATTAATGTTGCTTCCCTCCTTTCTTCTATCAAATCTAAATTTACTCGTAGCTCTTCCTCGGTTGTTGCCTTAGTAGTATGTGTGTACCTCGTGCTTACTTCATCTATCTCCACCAGAATTAGAGCTTCTGTTCCGCACACAAGTGAAAATGGGGTTTCTCTCGTACTAGTTTACTTCGTTGTTCAGTAAGCCCATAGCACATCGGTAGCACTTCTGGCCATTTGCCTGATTCTTCCAATCGCTTTTTTAAGTTGTTGATGATGACCTTATTTGTCGACTCAGCTTGCCCGTTAGCCACTGGGTGGTAAGGTGCAGAAGTGATTCGTTTATTCTGCTAGCTTTCGAAAAAAGTCAGTAACTTTTGCTCCTATGAACTGTGGGCCATTGTCACAGACGATCTCCTTTCGGACTCCAAATCGACATATAATATTTCTCCAAATAAAATCCATAACTTCCTTTTCTCGCACCTGTTTAAAGGCACCTTCTTCTACCCATTATGAGCAATAATCCATTAGAATTAACAAGAATCGTACCTTTCCCTTATATTGAGGTAAAGGCCCTACGATGTCTATCCCCCATTTCATGAAGGGCCATGGTGATATGACTGAATGCAATAGTTCCGCCGGTCGATGCATATTATTGGCGTATCATTGGCATTTATCGCACCATGCTATGAAGCTTTTTGCTTCCTCTTCCATTTTTGGCCAATAATATTCTGCCTTTATTAATATCATCGCCAACGATCTTCCCGTGGCATGATTGCCATAATGCCCCTCGTGTACTTATTTCATTACATATTTCGTTTGTGATGGTCCAAGGTATCGTGCTAAAGGTTCACCAAACATTTTGCAATATAAATTCTCGCAAATTAAGCAATACTAAGCAGCTTTCAACCGTAACAATCGGAATTTCTTCTTATCCTCAGGCAAAATACTATACTGCAAAAAGTTCACAAATTCGTTTCTCCAATCCCAAGTTAAATTATTGAAATTTACCTCACTCTTGGTTTGGTCGAGGGCTGAATGAAACAGATGTACCACAATAGTGTTTTCTGCATTTGTTGCATCAGCGATAGACGTGAGATTTGCCAATGCGTCTACTTCTGCATTTTCCTCCCTAGGTATTTGCACAACTTTCCATGTTTAAAATTGCCTAAGCAATTTTTTTACCTTTTTGAGGTACAGTTGCATTCGTGTCTCTCTTGTCACGTAAGTCCTCTGCATTTGATTAACTACTAGCTGCGAGTCACTTTTGATTAGAATTTGTTCAATACCAAGTTCTCATGCGAGTTCCAAGTCTGCAATCACAGCTTCATACTCTACCTCATTGTTAGTAATTGAGTAGCATTTTATTGCTTGTCTTATGATTTCTCCTAAGGTGGAATTAAAACAATCCCCAAACCTGCTCCTTTAATATTTGAAGAACCGTTAGTAAATAAGGTCCAAGTCCTCAGATTAGCTCCGGTAAATATTTTGTAGCTCTTTTTCTGCTTCAGGAACTAAGCTCGAGCTAAAATCTGCTAAAACCTGAGATTTTATAGTGGTTTAAGGCTGATATATAATATCATATTCACTGAGTTCTATAGCCCATTAAGCTAACCTACCTGACAATTCTTGTTTATGCATTCCTTAGTGGGACAACAGTTATAACGGAAATAGGTTGACATTGAAAGTAAGGTTGTAACTTTCTTGACACCATAATTAAGCTAAAGCAAGTTTTTCTAGGTGAGGATACCGTGTCTCAGCATCTAGTAAAGTCTTACTAACATAATAAATTGGAGATTGTTTACCTTTATCTTCACGTACCAATATTGCGTTTACCGTTACTTCTGATACAACGAGGTAGATGAGCAACCACTCTCCGTCTTTTGGTTTTGCTAACATAGGTGAATTTGATAGATACGCTTTTAAGTCCTTCAAAGCTTGTTGACACTCTTCAGTTCATATAAATTGATTTTGCTTTTTCAATACGGAAAAGAACTTAAAGCATTTTTTGATGACCCTTGACCAACATATCGTCTATATAGACTTCCATAGTATTTCCTAGGTGTTACTTGAAACATTTTGGTCACCAATCTTTGATATGTGGCTCCGTCATTTTTCAAACCAAATGGCATGACTTTGTAGCAATAAGTCCCCCTATCTATGATAAACGGGGTTTTTCCTCATCTAGAGGGTCCATTTTTATCTGATTATAACAAGAATAGGCATCTAAAAAACATAAAATCTCATGAACTGTGGTAGAATCAATTAATTGATCTATGTGTGGTAAAGGAAATGAATCTTTATGTAACGATCCGACCGGTCGTTTTGAGCAATTTGCACTTCGCTCGATAATTTGAGGGCATGAGTAGCTCCATATGATGTATTGTGACTTGTGTGAACCGTCGATTTCGGTTTTCAGGCTATTCGAAATCGATTTGGAAGAATGAATTTTATGATTAAAGCTTTAAACTGGAAGAGTTGACCAAATTTAACCTTTTATTATTTGACCTCAGATTAGAGTTTTGATGGTTCCGTTAGGTCCAGATGGTGATTTGAGACTCGAACATATGTCTGGATTTGCTTTTGGATATTTTTAGAAGGTTTCGGCACTAAATGGCGAAAGTTGAAAATTTGAAGGTTTGGAAAGTTCATAAGTTTGACCGAGAGTTGACTTCGGGGATATCGAATTCGGATTGTGACTCTGTGAATTGGAATAACTTCATTATGACATTTGAGACTTGTGTGCAAAATTTAGGTTCATTCCGGATTGATTTGGCATGTTTCGACGCGAGTTTTGGAAGTTGAAAGTTCAAAGTTAATTTAAGTTTGAATTGTGGTATGATTCGTCGTTTTGATGTTTTTATGTATAATTTGAGGCCTCGAATAAGTCCGTATTATGTTATAGGACCTGCTGGTATATTCGGACAGGGTCCCGAGTAGCTCGGGTAATTTCTGGACGCTCGGATAGTTTTTGGATTAAGTTGAATTTTTTGGGGCTGCTGGTTCTGGTGTTTTGCACCCCCGACTGGTATTGCGCATGTGCGATGGTCGCAAAAGCAAGACCATGAGCGCAGAAGTGAATAACACTATTGGCTAGGAGGCCGCAAATGCAGAGTTTTCTTCACCTATGCGAAGGCGCAGATGCGGAAATTTTAAGCGGAAATGGACTATTGGCGAGGGGTCGCAAATGGGGAAATTTTTTTGCGCAGAAGCGCGACAGCAGAAGTGGGAAAATGATCGTAGAAGTGATGGCTGCTGAGTTTGAGCCTGTTCGCAAAAGAGAAGGCTGGGTCGCGCACGCGAATTTGCAGAAGCGGAAATTGGTTCGCAAATGCGAATAATGATGGGCAGATTCAATACATTTCGAGGTTTTGGTTCTTTTACCATATTTTGAGATTTAGGGCTCGGATTGAAGCGATTTTTGAGGCGATTTTCACCACATGGATTGGGGTAAGTGTTCTCTACTTGGTTTTAATTTTATTTCATGAATCTATCTTCGTTTTTGGCATTTGATTGAGGATTTCAAGAGGGAAATCGGGGGGTTTTGTCTAAACTTTCATAGAGTGAATGTTTGAGGTTTGAACGTCGATTTGGAGTTGGATTTGAGTGAAACTAATATGGTTGGACTTGCAATTGAATGGGTTGTCAGATTTTGTGAGTTTCATCGGGTTCCGAGGTGCGGGCTCGGGTTTGACTTTTTGGTTGATTTTGGGCTTTTGATTAAAGATTCGACCTTTATCATTTGGAATTGTTTCTTTAGGCAATATTTGATGTATTTGAGTTGCTTTTGGCTAGTTTTGAGCCGTTCGGAGGTCGGTACGTGCGGGATGGCATTTTTTG